CATACCAGAAATCTCCCCAAGGCATTTAATAAAGGGAAATATACATCGAACGTATGCTTACTTTAGAATTGGCTGCATACCAATAGTGTATGTAGATGAAGGAATACACGCCGTCAGGATAACGTGTCAACAAACTTTGTGTTTCGTGTTTAAAGCACGCGATATTCTTGTGCGCAGCATGGCCCCGGGTCATAATGTTGTATAAATGAGAAGACGACGTTAAAAATCGAGGTTCTGCAATTATTTAGGATGGGCCGGTTTCTCTCTTAGCAGCAACCGAAGAGGTCGGTGCTAATTTTGCAGACTTAGGCTGGGTAACATTTTGATAATAGGAAACGGGAAACTTACGTTAATTGAGTGATTTGTTTATGTGTAGTACATAATTTGTAATTTGAGGGTATCATGTTTAGCTTGTGTTGTAACGTGTGATTTCAGGGATTCATGTACATTAGACTTCGTACGTGGGGAATTAGTGTAGAATAGATTCGTAACTGGATACTATGATTTGTTTAAAAGTTAAGTAAAATAACAGGCAGTCGCGAGTAAGCAGTCACCCGAGGCGCAGGAAGGAAAAGTCACGTTTGCGGACTGCTTTAATTGAATATATCGGATTGTAGAGTATTCTTTTCAAAAAGTTAGGATTTTTGGGAAACATTACAAAATTATCCCGCTGCCTGATTTTGCAGATAGATAGCAGAAGCATTGCGAGGACATCCCATCGACGGAAGACATCTTTAAGACCAATGTAGAAGATATTTTCGCAAATATTTATACAAGAAATACCGTAGGAAATTTAGGCATATACAAATTAAAGACAATTCAAACCATAATGAACTCAAATATTAAAATAAACCATCTCGAATGTCTGCCCAACCTGGAGCAGAATAAAATAGATAATTAATTAGTGGAAGTTATAAAATAATTAAAGACGTTGTCATTGCCAACAATATTATTTAATGCAAAAGCAACTTTCGATGGCTTAGCCATCATCATCAGTTGTCTGATACAAGAAGAAAAAAACAAAAACAAAACATTTAAAATCATAAGTCCTTTGAATAACAACAAAGATATGATAAGGAGATGCAAAATAATTACAATTTTTTGGAAAATATATTTAACTTCTGAGAAAACGGAGATATAAAAAAAGTGGGGGGGGGTTAAACCATTAATACCCCCCATTATTTTTTCTCCCATCGACAGCTGCTTTGCATTAAATAAGGCCAATTGACAACACGTCTTTAATTATTTTATGAAAAATGCCAAAGATATCACACCACAACACCTATAGTGGAAGTTAGTTAAATATAATCTATCTCACATAAAATAAGGTCGTGTCCGTATTCTTTAAATAAGTGTAGTTTTCGCGTAATGCTACGAGAAAAATAAGTAATTTATAATTTTAAAAAAATATTTTTTCACAAAACGACACTATTTTTTTTAAATTTACTTTTGCCTCTAAAAAAAGAAAAAAAATCTTGTGATAATCTCATTTCTGGGAAACTCAATGTAATTTCTAAATCGCAAAAATTTAAGTTCAAAACTACAAAATTGAATTTTCCGATTTTTGCCTTAAACAAAATCTGTTGTAAAATATCAGCTCTTTAAAAAAAGGTGATATATACCGTTTTGAAAAAAAAGTTGTTTTATCCTAATTTGCGCTTGAAATAAAAGGAAATTGATCGAAATCCTCTCCGGCGTTACTACACTCTCCCTCTCCCATATTATTAAACTTTTTGATGAAATATAAATAGAAATTGTATGCACTCTAAAACGTATTACCAAATTACAAGGAAAAGTCAGACGCACAGAAGGGATTAAAAATCATTTGCAACGGGAAAATAACTACAAATTGTAGTTCGTAACATTTATCGTCTACCAGGTGAAGGAATCGACAAGCTGCCGAAAGGAATAAGTTAACAATTACACAGGCACACAAAATAAAAAGTGTTGTCAGACCCAAAGACTTGACACATGTTTCTCTACGTATGTCGACTCGCTAAATCCGAATTTAGAGCCAGAATTTCGAAATCAGAACCATGGGAACCATCACCTCCCTTTTTTTAATTTCGAAAAATAACCGGGAAATTGTATTTTTTGTTTTTGGGGATTATTGTCAGACCAGAAGATTTGACACATCATTCTCTATGAACGTCAACGCCCAAAATCCGAATCTGAAGGCAGAATTGTATCACCACCACCTGAGTTTTTTTCAATCGCGAAAAATCACCGTGAAATTTAAGATTGTAAATTTTAGTGTGTCTTTTTCAATTCAAATTCTCTGTGTATGTGAACGCGCTGAAACATATCACGTCTTCGGGTCTGACAACAACTTCCGAATACAAAAATACAATTTCGTTGTTTTTCGCGATTTAAAGACAGTGCATTATGGTTGCGCAATTCCGACTTCAGATTCTGCATGGCGAAATACATAGAGAAACAAGTGTTATGAACAGCCGCCGGAAAGAAAAAATACAATGACGATGTTTTTTGCGATTTACAGAAATGAAGAGTGATGACGCAATTACATCTTCAGATTCAGAATCAGTGCATCGAAATACATAGACAATCATGTGTCTACAAAGACAATAAAGTCTTTGGGTCGGACCATTTTTTATGGGTGCCTGTGTGTCATTGAATAACTATATTCCCCACTAGCATTTCACTGAGCTCAATAATTGAGCTCAGTGGCACGTTTAATTATTAAACGCACAATTAGTGAAACTACATTCACGCTCAGAGGCGAGGGACCATCACAGCATTTATAAAATACATAAAATAAAAATAATCGAAAAACCTATTTTATTATATATTTTCCATGTTTGACATAATAAAGTCTTTCAAGGGTTTGAAAAAATTTAAATAAAATACATTGAGTTTGTGGTAAATCGAAAAACTTGGGGGGGGGGCTTGAAGCAGAAGCTGAAGTGCAATTCTTGTTGCAGACATATTTAGTCTTTCACTATCTAACTTCTCGGCATTAGTTGCCCCCGTTTGTGTATGTAATTACAGTCAGTTATCGAACTGGAACACGTCAAATCACTGACGATACATTGCGTTATTGTAAAAATGCGGACACGTGAACGAAATAAAAACCCCGAAGGAGTGGGCCTGCATCGCAGTCTGCCGAACGTCCCCGTTGGAAGCTGCGTGAACTGAGCAGCCCATGCTGTCCCCTGACGGCTTGTGGTGTCCCCGCTGGTGCGGTGGCGGGCGCGCTGGGCTACGGCTCAGGCGGCCCGGAGCGAGTCCCTGAGGAACTTCCCGCAGTACGCTGCAGCGCTGCTGCGAGGCGTCGGGGCGCGCGGACCGAGTACTGCCTGGCAGGAGATGCGCTTCGTCGCCCGGCCAGCGCGCCGCCCACATCTCCGGCAGGACGCGTGCGTCTTCCTGTGCGCGCTCGCAGGACGCGCAGTGGGTGGGCCGACCGGACGCAAGTCGTCGCGACACCCGTGCACCGCTGGCGCAGCCAACACCGACCTCATCCCGACGAGCCCACCACCAGAAAGCACGTGGACACTATCACACGGCATGGACTGAAGCGCGTGCCAGCGCGCCTACTACTTCGCGCGCTACGGCTACTACATGTACGGCTACCTGCAGGAGAAGCTGTAAGGCTCACGCTTACTCGCCCTGAGACGTCACGTCTTGGCAGGACCCGGCAGCCCTTCTTCCTTCCTCTCTGAGCGCTCTCTGCACTGTTCTGTTGGCAAATGTATATATCTTCTCAATAAAACAATAGCTTCTGTAATACTACTACTACTTGTTTGTCCTTTTGTTTTACATATGAAGTGTACACGACGTTCCTTTGTTTCCACATTGTACAGTTCTGTGGTAACATTCCAATACTCGAACGTAAAAATGCCGTATTTCGATATTAACAGAATATATTGACTAAATTTATGAAGAATTTGTTGAATACTCATAAAATACAAAACAGATAAAAACAAGAATTTTGTCGTAACAATCAGCATAAAACAATGACCAGATATCATAATTTTTCAGTACTTTGGGTGAAGTTGGTGACTTAAAATATCAAATAAACTCGTAGTAACAAAAATTAAATCAGATCTGGATTTTGTAAACCTTTTTCTATGTTGTTCAATTTAGAAAGTAGTGAATGAAGTATTTATTTGTTAGGAATTTATTTATATGTTATTGTAGAGACTGTGACGTCGAGACGGTCATTTAAAATGTAACCAACGTTTACGTCACATGTAAATAAAAATTGTAAACATTTTCAGCCTTTCATGCGTATTTACATTTCATTTGCTTAGTGGGTTGGGTCCGAAATCGGTCCAAATGGATAAGTTAGTTATGGGAATCTTGGATGAGTTGACTGATATTTTTGTTTTCCAGGTTCGACAACTTTTATGTTAGTTGTTTGCATATTGTATCGCGGGAGGTGAAGGTGTTTCTCCTTGCAACTTGAGGTCGGACGCCGCCGACTTACATGTCGGCTTGCGAGGGATTTCCCAGACCAGGTATCTCCACCAATAGGGCACCGCACAACCACCAAACTCCTTACTCGTGTCCCTGACGTGTGTGGTAGTGGTGTGCATGTAAGTTTAAATGTATGTGTGTGCGTGTAAGGTAAGTTTAAGTGTGGTAGTGGAGTGCATGTAAGCGATGTGAGATGACAAGAGAAGGAAGAGGAAGGAAAGATCGCACTGCTTTGTGGGCTGTTTGTTAGGGTACTGTACATTCCCCTGATATTGATCGGAGATCCTCCGAATAACTGTTGAAGGAAGCAGCCGGACTCTAGATTTCTCCAAACTGCGGTTGAATTCGACATGGATACCTAGCTAGTTTTGAAAGCCCGCCACGACCGGAACTCGATCTCTAGGAACGCCCAGTCAGAGTCCCTGCAGTGGCAGCAGTTGTTGCCCTGAGCCACCAGGCAATCTTCGTCGGAAAGACCTCTGTTAAGGAAATAATACATAAAACATAAAAAAATATGACATTTGGTTGATAGGTAGCTAAACGTTATTTGGTGGCAGATCAGTGAAACTAATTAGCGTGAGATCGGAGACTGTCCAATAGGTACTAGAAATTATTGTGGAAATGATGAGTTACAAATATGGAACTTCGGTGCAAGTAAGTAACGTTACACTAAGACATTGCATTACTTGAATGATGTACCTCGCAAACATTACAGAAACTAAGCAAGAACAATGTAGTGTGTGTTTTGGTTTAATGTAAGGTTATGTGATCGTATTTCAGGTTAGTCGTACAGTTCGGTGTAAGGGTGGTAGATAAATATACAAATAATGTGTGTATGTGTTGACAAAGTAGTGCAAAGTTCAGAAAAAGTAGAATACGTTAACTGTTATATTAATTGAGAGAAGTAGCGTTTGGGAAAAGAAGCATAATAATCAGTTATATCGTGTATACCTGGCGTTTGTGGGAACAAGCAGATAAGCAGTTCGTGAACTTTATTGTGTGAAGACAAGAACAGTTCGTTTGTAAGAAAGAGTAGATTAAGAAAGAGAAACTAGTCCAGCACAAAAATGAACATAAGTGACCATTATACTGCAAGTGTTTTTTGATTTAATGACTTTGTAGGGGATTGTCGGTTGTATACAATTGGAGTGAGGAGATTGATGCGTTTTAGAAATGTTTATTACATTACATAACTAATTGCAGAAATGCAACATGCATTATAAGAATAGCAGACAAATAGAAGAAGAGACAGAAGAGATTGCAGTGACAACAGGGAGAGGAGTAGAAGGTAAGAATACAAGATCAATGCTGTAAAGATGTACTGTCCACGTTTTGTATATATACTGTAAATGTATTGTATACATTTTAGGTAATATATTTTCAAAGTTGAAAGATAAAAGTTAAGGAATCCGATGTCGTGTAAGGAAGTAGCAAAGAGTGTAAATAAAGAAGGAAGTAAATTATATACTTAGAAAAATTTTAAGAGAAAATCAGTATTCAAGTGCAGTAGGTATAGTAAGAATTGGTCAGAATATGTGTATTTAAGGCTGAAGTTGTATAAGGCTGCAATGAATGATAAATAGAAGGGTGAAAGTGTTTGAATGGATGTTGGGAATCATTTACAGGAGAGAGGGTGATGAGATGACAGTAAATAATACAAGTTGAATAATATATCTAGACAATTAAAGTACAAAAGGGAAATTTTGCTGGATAATATAAATTCTGGATTACAACATAGATTGTTATATGTATAGCCACAGTGTATGTATAAACACACATAGTATGTATATACACAGTGCAGTTTTCGTGCAGATTCGATCTACAGAAATCGTGCAGTTCTCACTGCTCGATTTCTGCATGAAAACTTGAGAAAATTGAAGAAAGCGATATTTCCTTTAAATAAAATGTGTTTTACTTAGTGAGTTCTTTCATTAAGGTCAGGTACATTTTTTGAAAATTTTAGTAGTTTTCGCGCAATATTGCGAGCAATATGTGCAATTTTCAAAAATTACATAAACAAGAGATTTTCAGAAAGGCTCCAAATTTTTTGTTTAAACCGTTAGTAGGGATAGTTCTAAATGTACTGTATAAAATGACAAACACCATATTTTTCTAGCGTTTTGGGTTTTCCAAAAATTGCAAAAATGTAATTTTTTTGACTTATCTCTCACGTCGTAAATATTTATAGTATCGACAATTTGTTTATATTATTATGTTTATGAAAACATCTGCTTTGAATAATGCCATTTAAAGTTTCTGGAAAACTAAAACATTTTCTGTAAAAACTAGCTCAAAATTCTGCATTTTCAGAAACGCTCAGACGCCATTTTCTCAAAAATAGCTCCACAATTTCTCTTCAAACTATTCGAATGGATAGTGCTAATTGCACTCTTCAATATCATAAAGTTCATTACGTTTTTTTGTTTCTTTCACAAATTACACAAATGTAATATTTTTGAAGATCTCTTACGGCGTTAATATGCTTATTTGTAGCAATTTGTAAACAAATACATCAATTTGTATTTGTAAGTTAATGTGCCTAAATGAATTCAATTGAAGTTTTTCGAAAACTCAAAAATTGTCTTTGAAACAGGGCTTCAAATTTCGAATTTACAGTACAGTTTAAAGGCCATTGTCTTAAAAACGTCTTCCAATTTTTCAAAGAATATTGCTATTGATGACGAGGTTTTTCTGTTCTTTAATATTCTTAAAATTATATTTCCGTTCTACTATTAGGAAACCGAAAAATGAAGAACTTAAAAGAAAAGTACTTTGGGCGGCGATAGATAGCTGCGGGCAAGAGTATGTGGCACGTTCGTATTTCTAGCCGAGACTAAAGGAAATAGAAAACTAATACGGCAAAGTCTCTACCATTGTGTAGCATCTCTAACTTTATTGTAACGTTTTGCAACATTTTAACATTAAGCATCATTTTATTATTTAATTTACTTTGATTTCTGGCAATACAAATCGGAAACGCATACGAATAATTACCAAAAGAAATGTTAAAATTGGCTGTCTAGTTTAGTGCATCACTGTTTAGGAATTGCTAACTTATTAATTTACTGTATAGTTTGTTCTGACTCCAATACTTCAATATATGTGTTATTATCTTTACATTTCCAGTAAATGTAAAGACAGTTTTGTAAATCGTATATATGAGAGGGATATGACAGAAAACCTTTCTGCTTTTGATGATAATCGTGTTGGAACTTTTTTGGTTATGTAAGGTCCCACCAACATCAGGGTCATTAGCGACCGCTATTTCATTTAACGGTATGGTAACTGTGAAGATGACATGAGATGGTGATGATACGGGGTGAATGTACGAACACAAATACAATCATCCTCGAGGCGGGACTCGACCCGCGTTCCTTGGGTCCGAAATCGCTACCGCACTACTTCGTTTAGGTGAGACGGTACGCACCATCAATGATAAAATATACAACTTTACATCTCTACAGCAGCGCGATGGCGACGGGCAAGGCTGGCTGCGAGAAAGTGGGCGATGATTGTAAAAGGAGCTGTGGTAATGGGTCTGAGTGTCGAAGTTGAGAGTGTGTGAGCGAGAGTGTGTGAGCGAGAGTGTGTGAGCGAGAGTGTGTGAGCGAGAGTGTGTGGGGGGCGAGAGTGTGTGAGCGGAGAGGTGTGTGAAGCGAGAGTGTGTGAGCGAGAGTGTGTGAAGCGAGAGTGTGTGAAGCGGAGTGTGTGAGCGAGAGTGTGTGAGCGAGAGTGTGTGAGCGGAGAGTGGGTATGAGCGAGAGTGTGTGAGCGAGAGTGTGTGAGCGAGAGTGGTGTGAGCGGAGTGTGTGAGGCGAGTGTGTGTGTGAGCGAGTGTGTGGTGTGAGGCGAGAGTGGTGAGCGAGTGGTGTGTGTGTGAGCGAGTGTGTGTGTGAGCGACTGTGTGTGTGAGCGCAAGCTGGTGTGTGTTGAGCGAGTGTGTGGTGTGGTGAGCGAGTGTGGTGTGTGTGAGCGAGTGTGGTGTGTGTGTGAGGCGAGTGTGTGCTGTGTGTGGAGCGAGTTGTGTGTTAGTGTGAAGGCGAGTGTGTGTGTGGAGCGAGTGTGGGTGTGTGTGTGAGCGAGTGTGTGTGTGTGTGGAGCGAGTGTGTGTGTGTGTGTGAGCGAGTGTGTGTGTGTGTGAGCGAGTTGTGTGTGTGTGTGAGCGAGTGTGTGTGTGGTGTGTTGAGCGGAGTGTATGTGCTGTGTGAGCCGGAGTTGTGGCTGTGTGTGAGCGAGTGTGTGTGGTGTGAGGCGAGTGGTGTGTGTGTTGAGCGAGTGTGTTGTGTGTGTGAGCGAGTGTGTGTGTGTGTGACGGAGAGTGTGTGAGGAGTGTGTGACGGAGTGTGGTGTGTTGTGGAGCCGAGTGTGTGTGTGTGAGCGAGTTGTGGGTGTGTGGTGCAGCGAAGTGGTGTGTGTGTGAGCCGATGTGTGTGTGTGTGAGCGTAGTATGTGTGTGTTGAGCGAAGTGTGTGTGTGTGAGCGAGTGGTGTGTGTTGTGTGAAGCGCGGTTTGGGTGTTGTGCGGTGTCCCGCGTTGAGCGAGTGCGCGCGGGTGTGGTGTGGTGAGCGAGTGCGGTGTTGTGTGTGAGCGAAGTGCGGTGTGCTTGGTGTGAGCGGAGTGCGGTGGTGTGGTGGAAAAAGTTGAGGCGCGAGTGCGTGGTTGTGTGTGAGCGCAGTGTGGCTGTGTGTGTGAGCGACGTGCGCGTGTGGTGTGTGAGGAGGTGCGTGGGTTGTGTGGGTTGGGGCGAAAGTGTGTGTGGTGTTGAGGAGTGTGTGGTGGTGTGAGCGGAGTGTGTGTGTGTGAGGGATGTGGTTGGTTGTTGTGTGTGAGGAGTTGGGTGTTGTGTGGTCGTGAGGGGGAGTTGTTGTGTGTGTGTTGTGAGGGGTGGAGGCTGTTGGTGTTGGTGTGTGAGGGGTGAGTTGGTGTGGTGTGTGGTGGGGTGTGTGAGGGGCGAGTGTGTGTGTTGTGAGGGAGGTTGTGTGTGTGTGTGATGGGGGGGAGTGTGTGTGTGTGTGTGCAAGGTGAGTTTGTGGTGTGTGTGAGGGGGGGCAAGTGTGGTGTGTGTGAGGGATGTGGGGTGTTTTGAGGAGTTGTTGTTTGGTGTGTGTGAGGGCGGGAAGTGGTGGTGGTGTGGTGTGTGGTGGGGCGGGAGTGTGTGTGTGTGGTTTGTGTGTGAGAGAATGTGGTTGGTGGTGGTGCGTTGTGAGGAGGTGTGGTGTGTTGGGTTGTCGTGTTGTGGTGACGGGGAAGTGGTGTTTTTGTTGGGTGTGTGTGTGTGGTGAGAGGAAGTGGTGTTTGGTGCGGTGGTTGTGAAAGAGGGAAAGTGTGGGGTGGTGTGCGGTTGTGTGAGGGGATTGATGTGTGGTGTGCGCGTGTGGTGACCTGTGAGGGTGGAGTGTGTGGTGTGGTGGGGCGTGTGTTTGAACGGAAAACGCGGAAGTGTGGTGGTGGTTGCGTGGTGGGGTGAGGCGGGAGTTGGTGTGGGGTGTTGGTGTGCTCTGGTCGGTGTGAAGGGGGTTAAGAAAAAAAAAGAAAAGAAGGAAAATACGTTGTGTGGTTGGCGGTGTGTGGAGGGTGAAGTGGTGTGTGCGTGTGTGAGGGAGTGGTGTGTGTGTGTGTGAGGGAGTGGTGTGGCGTGTGTGAGGGAGTGTGTGTGTGGAGGGAGTGGTGTGTGAGGGAGTAGGTGTATGTGTTGTGAGGAGTGGATGTGTGTGTGTGAGGGAGTGCTGTGTGGTGGCAGGTGTGTGTGTGGTGTGAGGGAGTTGTGTGTGTGTGTGTGAGGGGAGTGTGTAGTGGTGTTGAGCGGAGTGTGGGTGTGTTGAGGGAGTGTGTGGTGTGGGTGTGTGTGTGGAGCGGGAGTGTGTGTGTGTGTGAAGCGGGAGTGTGCTGTGTGTGGACGGGAGTGGTGGTGTGTGAGTGAGCGGGAGTGTGTGTTGTGTGGTGGAGCGGGAGTGTGTGGTGTGTGTGAGGCGGGAGTGTGTGTGTGTGGCGGGGGAGTGTGGTGTTGTGGTGAAGTCGACGGGAGTGTTGTGTGTGAGGAGTGGTGTGAAAATGCGATAGTGGGGAGAGGAGAGAGGGGGTTTTACGTTGGAGTTGTGGTAATGGATGTGACGAATGTGGCGATGGATGTAGATGCTATTGTGGTAGAAGTGAGGGTTCTGCTCATGGACGTGGCTTGTGTTTGTGGTGACCGATGAGAGGGTTTGGAAATCGCGATGATGTAAAGATTGTGGCTGAAGTTGTGAGGGTTGTGATGTGAATATGGGTGTCGTAGCAGTGATAAAGGAA